AGACAAATGTCCTGCCTGCTGTACTATCACCCCAGCCCCAAATACCCTTTCATTTTAATAGTAATACCTTCTCCTTTGGGCAACACCTAGATAGTACCTTCTCCCCTATGAGCACTCAAAAGTTTTATTTACTAATTGAAGGGGACCAAAAGGAAAAATCATAGTTTGAGCTTATTTAATAGCAAATTAAATATATGCCCCAGGTAATAAACAGTGTTTATCAAACTTGATGGTGCAGACAAAGCAACAATAAGACTATGTGGTTTTGGTTTTTATTGTTTTTGTTTTGTTTTTTGGGGGGATCATACCTAGTGGTGCTCAGGTCTTACTCCTGGCTCTTCTGATGGGTTCAGGGAACCAAATTGGACCGGTCGGTTGTATGGCAAACACTCTACCCGCTGTACTATCACTCTGTCTCCAAAGGCATGTGGATTTTTAGATAGTTAAGGTTTGCTCCTGGCTCTGTGCTCAGAGATCATCCCTGGTGGTATTCAGGTGACCATATGCAATCACCTAAACAGCCATGAGTAAGGCAAGAACTCTTTGACCCTATTAAATCATTTGCATGGACCCTTGTCGAATCTTTTCTACATTTCCCTCGAGCAGACATATGTTTTCTTATCTATCATAGTCCTATCCATTCTTCTTGTCTGTTTACTCCACCAAGCTTTGTTGTTGCTATTTTTGGGTTTTGGCCACACCTGCAATGCTCAGGACTTACTCCTGGCCCTGCTCTTAGGAATCACTCCTGGCAGTGCTCAGGGGACCATAGGGGATGTCAAGGATCAAACCCAGGTCAGCTGGGTGCAAGGCAAGAGCCTTCCCAGCTGTATTATCGCCCTGGTCCCTCCTCCAAATTCTCCAGTGTTTTCATAGTTGTTTGCTATACCTTTCCACAGCTGATTCTCAGGAGATCCTGTGCACGTCAATTTTTTTTTTTTTTTGAGTGGGCCACACGCAGCAGCGTTCAGGGCTCACTTCTGGCTATGAGCTCGGGGAGTTCCCGGATCAGTCCTGGAAATCTTGGGGGACCATGTGGGGCACCAGGGATCAAAGCCACATCTGTGACATGCAAGGAAAGCGCCCAACTGGCTTTACTGTCACTCAGTCCTCTCTTTGTTTTGTGGCCATACCCAGCTGTGTTCAGGGCTGACTCCTCTTTCTGTGCTCAGGAATCCATCCTGGACGTGGGGTGGGGCGGGGGTGTGGGAGAGGGGATCAAACCTGGGTAGGCTGCGAGCACAGTAAATACATTGTCCAGGTATTGACTATTTCTCAGATCTCTGGGACCAACTCTTAAAGGCTGTTTGTGGTGCTGGGGCTGGCATCCTGGGCCTCACACATGCAAGGCAAGTGCTTTCCTGCGAAGCTACTTCCCTGACCCTTTTTGTTGTTCTGGCTTTTGAGTCACACCCAGTGGTGCTCAGAGGCTATTCCTGATGCAGGGCTCCAGTGACCATGTCATGCTGGGATCAAACCCAGCACTCTGCATGCAAAGCGAGTGCTTCCGCCAGTTGGGTTAACTCTCTGGCCCTCATGTTTAATCCCAAGACCTACTTCCTCTAAGATCTAATGCAAAATTTTATCAGGCATAAATTTATCTTTTTGTTTTGAGTAATTTGGAGGAGGGCTGGAGCGATAGCACAGCGGGTAGGGCATTTGCCTTGCACACAGCCGACCCCGGATTCAATTCCTCCATCCCTCTCAGAGAGCCCGGCAAGCTACTGAGAGTATCCTGCCCACATGGCAGAGGCTGGCAAGCTCCCCGTGACATATTAGATATGCCAAAAACAGTGTCAACAACAACAAGTTGTGAGACGTTACTGGTGCCCGCTCGAGCAAATCGATAAACAATGGGAAGACAGTGCCAGTGACAATTTGGAGGAATGCCTCATAGCTATAATAGAAAATAGCAAGTTGGTCTTATGATGGATTGCAGATACCCAACAATATTTAACACAAACAGGATAACTCTCGGTTCCTCTAGTAAATCATGTGCCATAACCATGACCATAACCATAACCATGGTCATAACCATGAATTTTACCTATCAGTACTCAAGTATATTAGTTACACTCCCAGTATGGAGCACTGTAGCACTGTCCTCCTGTTGTTCATTGATTTGTTCGAGCAGGTCCAGTAATGTCTCCATTGTGAGATTTGTTGTTATTGTTTTGGGCATCCTGAATACACCACAGGGAGCTTGCTGGGCTTTGCCATGCGGGCAAGATACTCTTGGTAGCTTGCTGGGCTCTCCGAGAGGGGCGGAGGAATCGAACCCAGCTCAGCCACGCCGGTCACGTGCAAGGTAAATGCCCTACCACTATGCTATCACTCCAGGATGGAGAGAAAGAGAAAATTTAGCTATTATAGGAGTAATTTTTAATTTTTAAGGAGTTAATCAATTACAATTGATTCAATTTTCACTATGTATTATGATTTCCTAAATAGATGGAGACCTAAACATCTCCAAAAACATTTTTATGGCCAGTTGGTTTACTTTAAAAAAAACAACTTGGGGCTGGAGCAATAGCACAGGTAAGCCATTTGCCTTGCACACGGCCAACCCGGGTTCGAGTCCCAGCATCCCATATGGTCCCCTGAGCACCACCAGGAGTAATTCCTGAGTGCAGAGGCAGGAGTAAGTAACCCTTGTGCATGGCTGGGTGTGACCCAAAAAGGCAACAACAACAAAAAAACCTTACTTGGGATTTTTTTTTTTGCTTTTGCTTTTTGGGTCACACCCAGCGATGCACAGGGGTTACTTACTCCTGGCTCTGCACTCAGGAATTAGTCCTGGTGGTACTCGGGGACCACATGGGATGCTGGGAATCCTAGAGTAAAAGTAGAGAGTATGTCTACCATAGAGAGGGGGAGGTTTGGAAAGGGCGGGTTAAGTTAATACTGGGGACATTGGTGGTGGAGAATGTGCACTGGTGGAGAGATGGGTGTTTGATCATTGTATGACTGAAACTTAAACATGAAAGCTTTATAACTGTATCTCATGGTGCACTGTAGCACTGTAGCCCTGTCCTCCCGTTCATCGATTTGCTTGAGCGGGCACCAGTAACGTCTCCATTGTGCAACTTGTTACTGTTTTTGGCATATAGAATATGCCATGGGGAGCTTGCCAGGCTCTGCCCTGTGGGCGGGATACTCTCAGTAGCTTGCCGGGCTCTCCAAGAGGGACGGAGGAATCGAACCCAGATCAGCCACATGCAAGGCAAACGCCCTACCCGCTGTGCTATTGCTCCAGTAGTATCTCATGGTGACTCAATAAAAAAATAGTAAAGTAAATTAAGAAAAAAAAAGATTATTTCTAGTGTATTTTTCAAACTTTCCAAAATAGAATGTAAAAACTCAAGCAAATGAAAGGAGTGGTTCTATACAACCTTGTTTTTCCAGAACTACTAAGATGTTAAATGATATCACTCGATAACAACTGAAATGGTGAGGCATAGGGAAGTGAGTAAATTAGAAAGTTTGTAAAATAATAAATCAGCTTTCGGCTGTAAGATTAATAAGATCTGAGGGTAGGAGAGATAATACAGGAAGGCACTTGCCTTACACACAGTCAACCCAGATTAGATCCTTGGCATCACATATTGTCCCCTGAGCTCACCAACAGTGATATCTGAGCATAGAGCCAAAAGTAATCCCTGAGCACAACTGGTTATAACACCTCCCCCTTAGCCCCCCAAAAGCAAAAATAAATAAAGAAATAAATAAATAAGAGATTAAAAAAGTAATAAGATCTGAGTATCTAATGTATAACATAGTGACTATAATTGATAACACTATTGAATTATTAAAATTTTTAAAGAGGAGAACTTAAATATCCTCACTCATGGATAAGTATGTGCAGTGATGGGCATGTTAGCTAAATGGGAGGAATACACTTATAATATATGAGAATATTAAATCATCTTGCAATACATTTTAAATATGTTGCAGGGACTGGTGTGATAGTACAGCAGGTAGGGCGTTTGTCTTGCACATGGCTGACTCGGGTTCGATTCCCACCATCCCATATGGTACCCTGAGCACTGCCAGGAATAATTCCTAAGTGCATGAGCCAGGAGTAACCCCTGTGCATCACCGGGTGTGACCCAAAAAGCAAAAACAAATAAATAAATAAATAAATACGTTGCAACTCACAATTATAGTTCAATAAAAGCTGAAAAGAAAAACTAAATTTACCCGTAGCACGCTGCCTTAGTGACATGCTCTCCAATAATGACTCAGTGTGTAGAAGTTGCTTCTAACAGTTTATTTTATACATACACATAGATAAATACTTTTAGTGAAGCAAATTAGGGGTTATTTTGCAAAATAGTTTTATTTTCTAAAATAAAATTTAGAGTAATATAAGGGGACTGAAAAAAAGAGAGAAGAAATACATGTTAAGAGACAACACAGGCTTCTCCAGAGTGGAAAAAGAAGACTTATTTATTATGTTTTATTTTGAACATATAATCTATAATTTTTACATAACTTTAAAAGTCCAGGAATATAGGGCTGTCTATATTTGACTTTTCAAAATCAAGATCTTCAACTCTTAAAGATCCTTAAATACAAATCAAAATATAAAAAATTTAAAAGAAGTACACACCAAGAATAAAATAGTTAACAAAAGTCACTTTTTGAATAGAATATTTTCAATCATGTCTTTCTTCTTTTTGAACCATGAAATATATTTTGTCCTTCAATGCAAAATTTTGATTTTCAGGTAAGTAGAACACAAAATTTTTTAAAAGCCTATTGCAATGTTAAGAGAGAACATAGGCTTCTCCAGAGTGAAAAAAGAATCACTATATAACCTATACAATCTCAGGTCTTCGGTTTATCAGCTGGATCCCAGTGTGAAAAGCATTCAGCTTCCTCCTTTGTAAGATGGCATTGCTAATATTTGTTTATTTCATAACATCATGTGGAAGACATAACAAAGTCTGTCTATGAAATTGAGAAGTGTTTTGTACACAACAAAACATCCAACACATTTTAGATGCTTTTAAACAATAACCTTATCCAGTGGGAAAAAATAAGACTTATGCAAATATCATTCCTAACAGTGAATTTGATGTCTGCGTTCAGGTACCACTTTGCAACTGAGTATTTAACCAATGGGAAGCAGAGGGTCTTCTGTTCACCTCACTGACACATTAACAATCTGTAAGAAAATGATCTCTCGTTAGAGCCATGCTGTATTAGGTGGGACGTGTAATCCCTAGGACAATTCTTAATACAAAGAAAGTGGAAACACGAGTCTCAAGAGGGGAGGAAATATCAAAGGTACTCTTTATCAAGAGTGAAACTTTGAAATCCATCTATTTAAGATTAATCACTATTCTTTTAGTTAAGCTGTTGTCATCTCTAACTTTCCCTGAGTAGAAAATAATCTACACTTCCAACTAAGTTATTCATGGTCCAATTTGTTCTCAGAATACTATAATAGGCTTTGTGAAGATAAGTTTTATAATAGGGATTTAACGTAGTGAGAAGCCAAGACTCTCAGAGGCCTTTAAACACAAGAATATAAATGTATATAAACTGCTTGGTTTCCTCCGCCCTTTCCACTCTCTCTCCCTCCTTCACTTCCCCCCCAAAAAAAGGATGCTCACCACGACTTAAAATTTAATTTGTACAAAGACTGCTGATAAAATACTGTTTCAACAACCCCAAGTACGAATGGTTTAGTTGCTGCCTTGTTGTGAAGGGTCGTTTTCAACAGCTCCGGGAAAGCGAAAAAACTCTTAAGCACTACAAAAAGGAATGCAGTGCTGGGCTTTAAGAAAGAAGAACATTCAAAACTTCCCTCCTGGCACTTGCTTGAAGAACCACATTTGAGTTCACTGACGAAAACTCTTGACTTTCCTGGAGAAAACTCTGGGAGGGATTGGCATCCTGGAAAAAAAAAAAAAGAAAAGAAAAGAAAAAAAATCGCTTGATGACTCATATTTCCTCCCCAGAGCTTTTGATTTATAAAACTGGTAAGGGTACATACAATTATTCAGAGATGTAATTAATTTGTTTATTTTCTTCTCTTCTCCTTTCCCTCTCTCTCCAAAATCTAAACTTCTTGCATTTGTAATACTTTTTTAAAAATCTCATTTGTACCCAAATAAGCCATTTGTTTTACAAACTAGTGCTAGTTTATCGTCATCCCAGTGCGTTGCTGACTTTCCAATTTTAAATATTTCAAGATTCACAACTTAGTATTTAAAACAGAGGAAAACACTTTAGTAATGACTTCTAACCACTAGCTTCCCTTTCTGAGCATGGGATGCCTCTGTCAAACCTATTCCGTTGTACTTCTGCTACTGGTATTTGCGTATTTATAACAAAATAGATGAAAAGGATAAGCATATACAGATGCATCATCCCTGAGTACTAATGTTCAAAATTCTTGGCTCCAGAAACATTCTGCACATCAGTGTAAGCGTTCTGGAACCAATACACACTTGCAAACTTTTTTTCTTACAAAGACCGTTTTCTTAAATTGTTTTTGAATGGTGGCCAGCCCTCGCAGCTCCCTGCGTGCTTTGCAAACTGTTTATACTGTCCCCAATAACACTCCCGGGAAAGCTGTCATTCCTGGCTAAATCCTTACTTAGGGTGGACGCTATGTCTCCGTAAGACAGGGTCACCGGGTCAAAATCGATTTCGGAGGCCACCTGGAGAGTCCAGGCCACAAACTGACTCAAAAAATTTATATCAGAGCCGGCAGAGCCCAGCTTCCAGGGTCAGATCCGCCCTGACACTCCAACCGCAGGCCGGGGCATGCTAGCCCGGCCTCAGAGAGAGGCCAGAGCTGTTGACCCTGTGAGCTGACCTCTTCAAACTTCAGGAGCATTTTTGGGGCAGTTACCACGGTGACGGGTACTCTAAAAGCTTATCCTTCTTACTGAAAGGAAGGAGGAAAAATTAGATGCCTATCACTGTTTAAGCAAGAAAAAAAAATTGAGGGAGCTCTAAATTGTCTGTGTCTTTGATATTAATTTCCATTGCTGCCCTGAAAATAACATGAAACTTTGCATGGTCTTTTAAGCAGCAAAATTGCACATTTGGAACAGCTACTGCTTTTTTTAAAAAATTTTTTAACCAATAACTGACAAGAATTTGAATAATGTATTAAAATACTTTTTTAAACAATGTAATTTACTTGGAAATTCTAATATCGCCCTGCTTTTCTTTGAGAACAATCAGCTTTGAAATAAGATCCATCATAAATGCTAATCTATTGGGGGGAAATAATGTAACTAAATAATCCTTTCTGCATCAAAAACATACTCAAATGTTTTTCCTAAGAGAAAAAAAATGTCCATTTTTGCTTGACTTGAAGTAATAAAATTTAGAAAAATATCAAGGGAGAGGCAGTAACTGGAACATTGATGAAGCACCTGCTGTCTTAGGTGTGAGATCCCAGGATCTATTCCCAGCACCACACAGTACCCATAAGCAGGGATAAGCCCTGACCACCACGAGGCTTGGTTCCAAATCAAAACAAAAGAAAACAAAAGCCCAAGGGTTATTATTATTATTTTGTTTGTTTGCTTTGTGGCCAAACCTGATGATGCTCAGAGAACCATATGGGAGACCAGGGATTGAACCTGAGCTAGGGGTGTGCAAGGCAAGCACCCTACCACTGTACTGTCTCTCCAGCCCCATGGGAGAATTATTATGACGTATTATATTTTTAATCAAATGACCTATAAAAGTAAGACTTTTTTTTTTGGTCACACCCTGCGATGTTCAGGGGTTACTCCTGGCTCTGCACTCAGAAATCACTCCTGGCGGTGCTCGGGGGACCGTATGGGATGCTGGGAATCGAACCCGGGTCGGCTGCGTGCAAGGCAAATGCCCTACCTGCTGTACTCTTGCTCCAGCCCCAAAAGTAATACATTTTTTAAAAAGCACACTGTAAGAACTATGAATGAAGCTGTAGTAGAGTGCAAGCCTCATACAATGTGAGGTCCTGAATTGGATCCCCAGCACCAAAGGAATTAAAAATAAAAATATTCTCCATATAGAGCACTGAAAGAAAAAAATGACTTTTAGAGCAAAACACACTAAAGCCTTAAAAAAAAAGCCACAAAATATTCAAATGCAATCTTGTCCAAAAGTTCTACAACAATATAAAGACTTATGAATTAAGATTTAATTCTTGGGTACAGCAGGTAGAACACATCCCTTGCAGCTGGGTTCAATCTCTGGCACCTTCCCTCCAAGTCCTTCCAGGAGTGACCCCTGAAGGCCCTGAATATTACAGGATGTGGCCCCCAAACAAACAAAAACATTATATATATACTTATATTATAAAAACTCCTGATATAAGTATATATGTAATATAAGTATATACGTATATATACGTATGTATATAATAAAACTCTAATTGTTGAGTGGATAGGGCATTAGTCTTGCACATGGCCAGCCTAGGTTTGATCCTTGGCATCCTATCTGGTCCTCTGAGCACTGACCACCAGGAGTAATTACTGAGGGCAGTCCCTGGAATAACTCCTGAGCAACATTGGGTATTACCCCCCACCATGCAAAAGTAGGGGTGCACAGACTGCAGAGTGATAGTGTAATGGGTAAGGTGCTTGCCTGACATGCGGCTGACCTGGGCTTGATCTCCAGCACCTAAATGGTTCCCTCAGCCCATCAGGAGTGATCCCTGAGCACATATTCTGGAGTAAGCCCTGAACACTGCTAGGTGTGGCCCTCAAAACAAAACAACAACAATAAAAAAAAAACCCAATCGTAATGGTTGGGTTCTGGTCAGAGACTTATTATAAAACACTTTAGAAGGCTCCAAAATGTGACTTGATATTAAATGAGCAAGATATGAAAGAAATGAGCGTGTGCTTTGCAGGGGTCTGACCCTGGCACTTGGCACTGCATGGTCCATGAGATACTGCTGGGAGTAGCACCTAGTACCTTTGGATATGATCCCCGCCTAAACAAAACAAAACACACACAGAAAGAAATTCGATAGAATCACAATCATTTTATTATTTTTTTATATTTTGCTTTTTGGGTCACACCCGGCAATGCACAGGGGTTCCTCCTAGCTCATGCATGCAGGAATTACTCCTGATGGTGCTCAAGGGACCATGTGGGATGCTGGGAATCGAACCTGGGTTGGCCGTGTGCAAGGTAAACGCCCTACTCATTGTGCTGCTGTGCTATCACTCCAGCTCCTCACAATTATTTTATTTTGTTTGTTTGTTTTTGCTTTTTGGGTCACACCTGGCGATGCACAGGGGTTACTCCTGTCTCTGCACTCAGAGTTACTCCTGGCGGTGCTCAGGGGACCATATGGGATGCTGGGAATCGAACCCGGGTCGGCCGCGTACAAGGCAAACACCCTACCCGCTGTGCTATCGTTCTAGCCCCCTCACAATTATTTTAAAGTGTAATATTCTTTTGTTCATTTTGACAGTCCTGAGAATTGAACCCAGAGCCAAACATATGCAAGGCAAATGCTCAACAACTAAGCCACACATCCCGTACCCCAAAGAATAGTATTATTATTATTATTATTATTATTTGCAGAGATGGGGAGTTTGGGACATCCTTGGCAGTACCCCTTACTCCTGTATCTATAATCAAGGATTATTTCCTGGCACTGTTTGAAGGACTTTATATAGTGTGGGATCAAGCTGGGGTGCAAGGCAAGTGTCTTGTCCTCTGTATTATCACTGTGGACCCATAGTATACTATTCTCTCTCTCTCTCTCTCTCTCTCTCTCTCTCTCCCTCTTTCACTCTCTCTCTGTGTGCTGTGTGTGTACATGTGCATGTAAGAGTATGCCAAGTGGATTTATATTTTAAAAAATAGTAAAAAATTAGTGGCTTTTATAGCAAAACAACGTCTGTTGATCAAAATACCATTTTACATGTTGACTCCAAGCAATAAAAACATAACAGTAAACGACATGTGAAAGGGATACTGAAAGTTTAAAAATCTATTAAACCCAATCTTGAATGTTTATTTTGTGGTGACCTATTTTCACTATTTTATGAGCATCATTAAGTTCCTACTAAAAAAAAGTTTTTTTTTAAGTGTCTGTTAATTCATCTTAGTTTTTAAACAGAAAAATATAATTTAGGCTATAGTATTCTTTCTCATCTTGTGTTCAAAACAATCCATGAACGGAAAAATCAGAAGTACAGTTCTAGATGACTGTCTCATAAGGTCCAAATAAATGCGCAGCTCTCTCAATGAGTGTGGTTCTTGCCATCGCAAGTGGGCATCCAGGTGTTGAGTGATTACAGCTGTGGGGCCAGATCATTCTGTATGACAAATTCAGACCATGAGACTCCCAGCCCGTGAACTCTTGGCAAGCTCCCTTAAAGACCCCGTGTCTGGCAAGCAGGAGGACCTATCAAACAGGAAATGAGGTCCTCCTCAAATTTTGAAAAGAGATGATAGAAGTCTCAAAACGAGACTAGCCAGACCAGAACCTCCTAAACCACAAGTCTTATCTTGAGTGAAATGTTATTTCTAAGTTGGATCTGAAAAGGGAAAGTTAAAGTATCAAACAATGGCTCATTGTACACAAGAAAACAATGCCAAGTCTCTTAGCTAGGTTCCCTTTAGTCAAATTTCGGATCTTTTCCAGGAAGAGAGAAAAATTTGGTCAATCTTCTGCAAACAACTTTTACTAAAAGAACTATAGAATTGATAAATTTTTGTGTATGTGCTACGGAGGAGAGCACTATGGAATAGATATCGTATTCAGGAGCTGAAATGCCTGGCTCTTCTCTTATGCTGAAAAATTGCAAATGTTGGACGAGAGAGAGAGTACAGCAAGAAGGGCATTTGCCTTGCAAGCAGCTAGCCAGACTTAAATACATATGATCCCTGGAGCTCAGCCAGGAG